TTTTAAAACAGAAACAACTGATTGATGATGATGATGATGATGATGATGATGACGATGATGATGATGACATTTATTGATTATTTGGCCATTTTAATCAGAAGTTTTTTTAAAAGAAAAAGTAGGGGGGAAAAAAGGAAAAAGCCACACGGATCACACACACACACATCCACACACATCAAGTAAATGATAACAGCCTGGTATAGCTAAGACAGCACCTTCTTGATGAATTAATTTCATAATAACAACACATACATTTCATCATAGTTTTCTTCATGTTGGTGTCATAACTGTGAGGATAGGTACTAAGCGCCTGTGGGCTCAATAGCAACCTTGATCAAAGGTTTGCAGTCCCATCTCTACTCAGTGATGTTTAACAACTGGCTCTTCCAAGCTGGTATTAAAGGGAAAGAGCCTGTTCAATGTATTTCCTTCCTCTAGAAAGATGGCTGCTGGGAAATACGTTGCTGAGCTCCTCCAGAACCTCCAGGCCTCACCAACATCGCCAGCTCCATTGCCGCCACAGCGTCACTACATGTCAGCCATCGTGGCTCAGTTCTGCTCAAAACTGGCTTGCAAAATTCCAGAAAATTGAACAATCGCCTCTCACGAGCTGGTATGAGCTGGCTCCAGCACACCATGGTCTGTACCTCTTCCACACTTCTTTGTCCATCTCTGACCCATTCAGACTTCCAAACTACCTCCCTATCTTGGTTCTTTCTTTCATACTCTCTGACTCATGTCTGCTTGCACACTCATATACACTCTGAAGGCCACAGTTTCATCCTGCTTCACGAAAGAAGAAGAGGGGAAAATAGATTTAGCTACTTCACTGCAGGCAGGGCATGAAAACTGGTGTCACAAGCAACCAGTTGATTTCTCAGTAATCCCTTTACTGCTTTTGCTTAACCTGAGAGTTCTTTGTCATCCTCCTTTGCAGGCAGTTGCAGGCCTCCATTACTTTTAGGTTTCCTTCCAACTCACCATCCCAGTGCAGGGAAACATGTCACCCAGCCATGCTCATTACCTGTTTATCAGCAGCTGATCTTCATCTTTTGCAAGCCAGCTTCCCCCACCTAGGAGTCAGATTGTACTGAAGCTAGATCCTCGGTGCTCCTGGTATGAAGCTGTAGGGATTGCATCTGAAAAAGCACCCCACTCTCTCTATCCTATCCGGCAAAGCTGTTTTCAAACAATGATTTGCTGAGGCGATGTTGATGCTCCACAAATTGCAAGTTGAAAAACTGCTTTTAGGGTGCCATGGGCAATTTTCCATACTGAGGCATACTCAAGGTGTAATTGCGGGCGTGCTTTGGGAATTGTGAAAGCCGGGCTATTGCTTGGGAGTCTGCATAGCAGCTGCCGGCTTTGCAGTTTGAAAGGCAGATGGAGATGTTGATATGACTGCCACTGAGAATAAAGGGGATTGCTCTGTGTCAGGTCTACTCATCAGGTACAATAATCAAGCTTAGTCACTGAATATATTGCATGATCGCTGGTCCTCCTCCTCATTTTCATCTTCCCTTTTTTCTTTTGGCAAACCAAGGGCTGTGCTGATGGGTAGGGACAGTGTTTGGTAAACTGAAGATGAAGATCTGTTAACCACACCAAGGCATGAACACAATATAATGATATCCTCTTTCCCGCCCATGCAAAATCAGATCCAATGCCTCCCTGGAACAGATAAAAGGGAGGCTGTTTCCAGCTCCGAATCCAGAGGGATTTGGCTTCCGTCGGCTCAGCACTCTCCAGCTATTCCTTTTCTTTATTTTCAACTTTGGCCCAGTAGCTACTAGGCTTCTTCATTTTCTCTGTTACTCACTTGACTTGAACACAGCAATGTCTTTCCAGACCATCTGCCAAGGCTCCAAGGGGAGCAGAAAGGGCTACAGCTCGTGTTCTGCTCTTGGTGGTGGCACTGGATGTGGAATCAGGCGTAGCTATTCTTCATGCAGAGGATATAGTGGCGGTATGAGAGGCCAATATGGTAGCAGGAGCCTCCATAACTATAGTGGAGTTACAAGGATTTCCTGTGGACCTGTCTATGGAGGAGGCATCTGCGGGGGATATGGTGGTGGAATTGGTGGTGGGTATGGTGGAATAGGGTGTGGCTATGGAGGAATAGGAGGTGGCTATGGAGGAATAGGAGGTGGCTATGGAGGAATAGGGGGTGGTTTTGGCTACAGAGGACTGGGTAGCATTGGATCTGGAGGTATTGGTAGCGTCCAAGTGGACCCAAGTCTTCTGCGACCGGTCCGGGTGGAAATTGACCCCCAAATACAGCAAGTGAAGAATCAAGAGAAAGAACAGATCAAAGTCCTCAACAACCAGTTTGCTTCCTTCATTGACAAGGTAGGTTAACAGAACAGAAAGTATTGTACTTTTGATGTCATGGAATGCATGTCAGCTGGTAAAATGTGATTACATTTGTGCTTAACAATCCAGTAACATCTAGTGTTCTGGATATGGATTCATTTATTGCCACTCTTTCATTGGGAATTAGATAGAACATTCTGAGAAACTTCGATGTCATGAGGCCTACAAAGACTCCTAATAACTATTTAAAATGCTTCTGCTTATTGGGCCCTTGGCAATGGATGTTTATTGACGATTTGAGTAGACTCAGCTGGCTGGAAAGGAGTAGAGAAGCAGAAAAAACGTTTAGGGTGTTCATTAGCAGGTAGAATTTCAAAATGATTTCAGGATAACAGAAAGGGCTGCTCCTTCTTAAACCTAGTATGCGTGGAATTTATAAAAACAAAATGCAATTGCTTGGCTAACAGATGCCTGAAAATTTCTGTACGTCTGCTTTTAAAGGTATTTTGTATTGGCTAAGTCAGTTGCCGGCTCCAGACCCTCCTATCTAAGCTGTAACTGGAGATGCCAAGGATTAAAAATGGGTCCATGCGCATGCCAAGCCTGAAAGCGATCACAAGCTTCACAAACAATGATGTCTTGTTATTCAAAATGTTTGTGTCCATCATCCGTAGTCTATTAAAAAAGAGACAGCATTTGCATTTCTTGGATGGGTCTGCCTGAAATATTCTTGCTCAGCACAAGTAACCACAGAGGCTGTTGTATAAGGCTAGAGTGGAGATTGAAGGAAATGGGACAAGCCCTTCACGGATTTCCACTGGCAGCTGAAGGAAGTCTAATGAGACTCATGAACTTCTCAGAATGCCTGTGTCCTCAGGCTCTTCATCTTGTTCCCAGATGATCATGTTTTCAGTTTTACAAAGAAAAAAAATGTGAATTAGAGAGGGGACTTAATGAGTTTGCTCCTGTCTTTCTGGTTAAGGTTCATAGAGTTGGGAAGGGGCCAACTTTGTGGTTAATAAACCCCACAGTTACCCCAATGTGTTGTGATGACAACTTCCTCCAGTCATTTATCTAGCTCTTTTTTATAGGTCCGATTTCTGGAGCAGCAAAACAAGGTGCTACAAACCAAATGGCAGATCCTCCAACAGCAGACACCAGGCGTTGGCCCGACTTTGAATCTGGATGGTCAGTTCCAGCAATTTCTGAGTGCCCTGAGGAGTCAAATTGAAAGTATCCGCACCCAGAAGGTGCAGTTGGCAACAGAGCTTCAGAGTATGCAGCATTACGTGGAAGACTTCAAGAACAAGTGAGAACCTCAGAAACAACAGACAACTGTGTCCCTCTCAGCTGTTGGCACCTGCAGTCTAGTGATAACTTGTCCTCTAGATGGGCAGCAGATCACAATAATGCCACTGATCACAGTTCTTGAAAAACCTTTCCCCAAAGAATGCTCTATGGATATGTTGCTCCAAGCCCTGAAGAACATAAATATTGTAGTCTAACATATCTGGAGGGTATCAGGTTGGGTAAAATATTGCAACCATCATAGGAAGTTCCATGAGCAAGGTGGGAGCATTACGTTCTTAATGCTTCTTTGAGAAATTTGTTCATATTCTACTCATTAAGTTTATTGTGATAGCTCTGTATTTATCTTGGCATCTTGTATTTAGTATTTAGCTTGGCTTCTGCAGTCTTTCTGTGTGTGATTGTAATCATAGTCTACATAACAGTCTTGATCAAGAAATCTGTAAGCTCACTCTTCTTTTTCTTCTAGGTATGAAGAGGAGATCAACAGGCGTACAACTGCTGAGAATGATTTTGTTGTGCTGAAAAAGGTGAGAGGTGAAAACCTGGCAGTATGCTACAAACGTGGAAGGCATAATCTAGAGACAGAATGGAATCATTCTTCAAGATTTCTCCAACTTAATGGTCAACGTTTTGTGCGCCCTTCCGATGCAGGCCTACCTTTTTGTTGTTCCTGATGGTGTTGTCAAAAAGTGCTACATGATACAGTTATAGGATTATGTTCATCAGTATGACTACATTCCATATTAGAATCTCCTTCCATATGGAAAAGTAGCATGTTAGGGGAAAGATCAAACTATAAATTTCCTGAACACACTTGTTTTCCATCTTCAGGGAGATTGAAATATCAATGGGTATTTTGAAATAATATAGAACCATGAATAGAAATGAGCAAATCTGTAGATTTTTGTTTCTCTGTCAAGTTCCATTTGTCAAAATTAAGATGTTTTGTTAAGTTTGTACAAAAATGTGTATGCATAATATTTTGATGCACATTTCTCTTGTTTAGGGAAGTATGCATATTTGCTAGCAAGCTTGACCTGAAATATGTAGGTTTTGCAATCAGTTTCTTCTTACATAGTGTATATTATATATTTATCACTATATATAAGTTGTACAGATTTTTCCTAATACCCTTATATGGGTTTTATTATTAGCAAGCTGCACTGCAAAATTCAGAGAACTGGAAATGTTGAATAACTAAATTTTGGACCCTCTATTAGGCTGAAAGCGCCAAATTAAATAATTTGGCATTGAAATGAAAACTTATTTTTCCTCTATCATTAACCATTAAAGGACAGGACTATGCACCTGTTTATAAGTTCAGTAGCTCCTGATATGTCCTAGACAGCAGAACAGTACACATGTCCTGCCTATAATTCCCAGTGGATAGCTTGCACTAGTCAAAAAGATGCAAAAATATGTTTGTTCTGCTTCACATAAACTTTGCATGGAATCCATTGCTTCATTTATAAAATGCAAGGTACCATGTGTTCCAGCTTGCCTGATACCTGATTTGATCTGAAAGCTTCTGCTCCCTGTAGTTACTCAGTGAAGAACAGAAGCAGCAATTTTGTCCTGCTTAGATGTATTCTCTAGTGCACTGTTTCTTCCCATGTGACTGGTGTGGTCTCTGCTACTTGGAAGCAGAATCTCAAACTGAGCCCTGTTGAGTTATGATTAAACAACCTAACAGGAACATACAAAGCTGTTTGTGTAGACACGCTAAAAAGAGTTCAGGTATGCTTCAACTGGTGATGATACTTGCTGAAGATTTACACTGAGATTCTTCTGGATCCTTGTAGGATGTGGATTCTGCCTATCTGACTAAGGCTAACTTGGAAGCAAAAGTTGGTTCTTTGGCTGAGCAGATTAACTTCCTGAGAAGAATCTTCGAACTGGTAAGGAATGTTTCTGTTCCACTGGTTAGAGGGAAGAGGGCATCTTCGAGTCCCGCTGACTCCAAATTCAGATTTGGCTTTACCTCTATCCTGAGTCTTTTCTTTCAAGAAAGGATCTTATTTCATGGAGGACATGTTCACAGGACATATCCTTCAGTGACTGAGGTTACAAATGTAAAAGATTTTCCCATTATAACACAACAAACAGGACAAATGTTCTTAGAATAGCTCTTTGGATGAGACGGCTGACTTTCTCTTCCTTTTTCACCCTTGAAAACAAGGGGCTCAAATGTGTCTAGAGATCTTACACATGGGGTGGAGGAAAACTAATCCTTGTTCCAGCTCTTTTTTACTTTAAATAACCTTCTTGTACATCGAGAGGAAGTTCAGCCAAGCAGCTGCACTTTGCCACCACTATTGCCACACAGCATTATATCCAGTCACCGCAAGGTTCAGTTAACCCATCTTTAACTCTCCCTTCTGAGTCAGAGGCAAGGAGGGCCATAGTGAAGTCAGTAAACATGGTTCCAGCTTGTGATCAAGGTCCTCCACCTTAACTGTAATCCTGAGTCTGTAGGGAGTTTGAATGACATGCTACATTTAACCTTGTTAGGAGTCAGTGTATGGTACAAACAAGCCCCAGACACCTCCAGAGCTTAATAGGAAGAAGACAAAGCATCAGAGAAAGAGAGTGATCACTGGGGAGAAGACCAAACCTAGATAGCCATGATGTGACTTAGGCAGGGAATCCTCACTTCTGCTTTACTGAAAACCTCATTACACTCTGCTGTCCAGTTTTTTATTTTTTAACTGCATAGCAAATCCTTCCTGCTACTGTTTTTTTTTTTATTTGGATTAGAAAGGATCACTTAGGAATCCTGAGTCTAGTGTCCAAATGTCCACATTTCTCTTTATTTCCCTGAAGTTTAGACATTTAATTTATTTTAAACTGAAAGCTGTAATTCTGTTCTGGTGTCCATTTGTTTAAAAAGATACTTCTTTCATTTAGAAAAACTGCCATTTGCATTTGCAGTTTAAAGAACTCAGATCTGAGAATCTTTCAAGAGTTGGCCAAAGCTTTTTTGTGTTACGGCATGAAAGAACCTGCTGTAAAAGAAACCCAGGCGTGGGGCTCTGAATATGATTTATGAATTCAAAAATGTATCCTGAACTTCCTTAACTAAAATGGATGTTATGGGGATGATGATGATGATGATGATGATGATGATGATGATGATGATGATGATGATGATGATGATGATGATGATGATGATGATGATGATGATGATGATGATGATGATGATGATGATGATGATGATGATGATGATGATGATGATGATGATGATGATGATGATGATGATGATGATGATGATGATGATGATGATGATGATGATGATGATGATGATGATGATGATGATGATGATGATGATGATGATGATGATGATGATAATTAAAAAATTCATGAATGGTGAAACAGGGGAAAAGTGAGGCAGATTGCCAACCTAACTCATGCTTTTTGGATTCCCTATAGGAAATATCTCAGTACCAGATTGGAGGCCAAGACACCTCAGTAGTAGTCAGCATGGATAACAATACCTACTTGAATTTGGAAGGTATTATTGATGAAGTAAGAAGCCAATATGAAGAGATTGCTCGTTCTAGCAGAGCTGAGGCTGAGGCTTGGTATCACTCCCAAGTAAGTAATCACACTGAGACAAGGAAATAACCCCCCCCCCCCCAAATTATCTTGTGTTTTTCCAAGAAGCAAGAGCCTTCCCTCCGAACCACACAATCACAGAAGACTGCAGCAGGGACTCGGTCTGCTTCTACTCATTTGCTGAGACTACTATTTAAGCAGTTATTCTCTTTCTCCATGGGGACGCTGGGACCTGGAGTTCAGTGAAGTGAGATGTTCCTCTGAAGACTTCTAAACCTGAATTTGTAATTCCCTCATCAGAGTACAACATGAATATTCTCTGAAGAAAGCCTTGGCAGCAAACGCCATGGTTGATATTTGTAGGACAGATCAGCTTTCCCCAATCTGGCACTTTCCAAAGTTGCAGAATACTTACTCTGTAAGTTCGCAGGTGTGCTAGCTAGGGATTCTGGGAAATGCAGTCCCACTTCATCTGGAAGAGGCCAGACTGAAGGAGGCTGGGGGTGATGAGGCCTAAAAATCCGGCCAGTGAGCAGCCAGTCAGTCCTAAAGATGCCCAATCTCAGCATTGGCACACAGCTAGGAATGAACATGTGTAGTGAGTTGTGGGGACCCTTTCTTCAGAATCTAATCTCTCTGAAATGCCATTTCAATCCATCTTTTTCAGTTCTTAAGCCTCTTCACTTTCTGAACAATATGACAAAAAGCTGTTATCAGTGGCAACAGACATAAAAAATGCAGTATTTAGTGATATGGAAAGGATCATACAAACAAAATGGCCCTTAATGATCCATGACAGACGTTGATGCATCATTTGTTTAGACTCTCCAACCATGCCCAGACCCAGCCATTTACAATATGACTAAAAATGATTTAACAGCTTCTCCTTCTTGGCCCTAAGAACATAAGCATGGAGTCAATACCCACTACATTTCACAGCATCCTTCCTGGGATGCCATGATAATCAAACTGGTGTCAAATCAATATAAGCTTGGAGTGTGAAAGCCATGGTTCTTTGGATGTGGCTGAACTACAACTTGAAGCATCCTTTCCCATTGACTATGCTGGCTGGGCCTGCTGGGAATTGTAATTTACCCATGTTTGGTGGGTCATCCTTTGCCTCGCTGAGCTATTCTGCTTCCATTGTGACCCACTGAGTTGATGCCCAACTCTTTCTGCCCAACAGTATGAAGCGCTGCAGAACACTGTAGGACGACACAGTGACAGTCTGCGCAACACCAGACAGGAGATTCAAGAGCTGACTAGGAACATCCAGAGACTGCGTTCAGAAATTGAGCATGTCAAGAAGCAGGTATGGGGGAAAAGGATTGTAATTCAAGAATAGCTTCTCTTTTGGAGATTCAGATCACTATATGGGTGTTGAAGCCACTTCTACAAGGGGAAAGAATCCAATTCAGTGACAGCTTGTGCAAAATCTTGCTCTAAGACATGAGGTATCTATTTTTTAAATTATTTAAGTTCCTAGATTTAAGATCTTGAAGCATTTCTGTTTCTCACATAGATAACATTCTGACTCAGCAACTTAACACATTTCACTGAAACCTGCCAAACTCCTTTTAAATTACTTCTCCAATCTCTTAACGTGGTGAGGTGTCAACAACAGCTCCAAATGTCTTGTTGCATCATCATAGCTGAGCTCTCTTGCACACAAGCTGAATTGCATTGCCTTTATGTAATTTCAGGTGTGACATTGTTGGAAATTACCAAAGAAGCTTGGGTAGCAAAATGGGCTGGATGTTGTAATGTGAATTATGTTGGTTTGGGGATAGAATCTTTTCTACACAGAACCAGTGGTTGAAAAGGAAGGGCTGCATGCCAAGAAAGGGCTGTAGAAGACAAGTTTGGCAGGCATAAGGTCCTAGGAATCTTCAGGTAGGGCTGGGGAAGAACCCTGTTCGTAAATCTTGAAGATCTGCTGCTTGTCATTGTCAGCAACTCTGAACTAGATGAGCCAATGGTTCAACTGTGTTCCTCATTCTTAGTCTCTTAATAATTTTAAGCCACTCTTCAGTGGATCATAGGGAGAACATGATGCAAATGGGAAGCTTAAGGGTTGATGTATATAACTGAAAAGAATCTATTGTACTACACATATTTATAGAGAAAAAGAAATCTCTTCACAGAGATTCTCCTTGGCTATGAAGCTGGCCCCACAATGGACCGGCCTCATTCAGAGCCCATGAATACTGCTTGGGACTGGGGAGGGAGCAATACGTCAAGCCTTGCTACACCAAGGGTACTTGAAAGCTTCTAGGAGGTGTCCCAATGGCTTACATGGGGGAACTTATATTTTAAAAGCCTACATTGAGAAAATTTAAGTTAACATAGAATGACATCAGGGAAATTGACAGTAGAGACTGATATTATCTTGAAATAATTTATATTAAAACTGTACATTAGAGGTAATTACATGGAAATGTTCTTGTGTTTGGACAGCTGAAAAAATGGGTAAGTTTTAATTGACTTTTTTTTTTTAAGTGAAACAAAACAAAACAATGGGCTCAGAACACTAACATGGATTAATTGTTTTTCTAATCTGGACATCCCTAGCTCCCAGGTGCTACCACCCAAGCGATAGTGCAGAAGTACTATATGCCATTATTTCCAACGTAATGGGTTTTATTTATGTATTGATTTAGTGCAGAGAGAAAAACACAGAACTATTGATGGAAGGCTTTAAATGGAAATGCACATCCTGCCCCTAGAAAAATTCCTAAATGAACTAGGACAACAGCATGATAAATGCTTCATCTAGAAGGAGTTATACAGAGTTAAAGGAGGTACGACTAGAAAGATGCCAGATAATTGGAAAAAAGCCTGGACTGTCTAAAATACTCAATGCCAGGCAAGTCTAGATGTTTTACTCAGCCTCTGATGGATATTTGCTCAATGTACAGTAGATGGTACACAAAAAGGTTGTAGAACAAAGAATGTAAAAAGAAAAAAAGAAGATCCAGTTCGAGGAATTGCCTGGCAGAAAGATGTTCATGGTGGCAACTAGAGCAGTTTGTTTCCTCCATTGCCTTGCAGTGTGCTAAGTTGCAGTCTGACATTGCTGAAGCTGAGGAACGTGGTGAATTGGCTCTCCGAGATGCTAAACAAAAACTGCAAGAACTGGAATGCGCCTTGGCAAAAGACAAAGAAGAACTGGCTCGCCTCCTGAAAGAGTACCAAGAACTGCTGAACATCAAGCTTGCTCTGGACATTGAAATTGCCATGTACAGGAAACTCCTGGAAGGAGAAGAGAACAGGTGCGTCTGCTGGTCCCTTTTGGCGGGGGGTGGGGGGGGGCTGGTTTTATGTGGGCCAAGCGTCCCCAAACTATATCTGGCTTAAAATCTAATAATAGATATAAATGATGCCTATTTAAATAACTGAATAGTCAGAGGCTGTCTTGTGAATATTTAACACCCTAATTTGGGGGAAGAAATTTGATTTGGACATTCTGGAATTCTGATTTGTCTTTGGAAATGTTGATGTGCTTGGCTTGTGCTTCATGGAACGTGGGTGCTCAGGGGCTCACTGTCCTCCTTACATCCCCAAGATGTTCCCTCTGTGGGTTAGTCCGCAGGTAGGACATGGGGATTTACGAGTGGAGGGATCCACCTTGTAAACAAGAAATTGGACTCGGCGACTTGTGCTTGCCAGTTTAAAGCTGTGCTCATAATTCTATGATTCATATATAGTAGACTATCATCTGGGAATATCACTAGGTCTATTGGGCAATTGTCTATTTCATGACGGAGAATTTTGTTCTAAAATCACCTGTGTTTCTTGCTCTTAAACAGGCTTTGTGGCCCAGGATCTCAAGTCCATGTCTGTAAGTAGCTTAGGCCTTCCCTGAATCCATTTACATTTTTTAAAGTTGTGAAGATGTGTATACACTAAACCTGTGTTTTCTTTACAGCTGTGCGGAGTACCAGTTATGGCGGTGGCGTTGGAGGTGGTGTTGGTGGCGGCGTTGGTGGCGGCGTTGGTGGCGGCGTTGGCGGCGGCATTTGTGGCGGCATTTGTGGCGGCAGTGTTGGAGGTGGCATCAGTGGAGGAACCTGCGTCTACGGAGGGGGGAGCGGAGGCTATGGTGGTGCTATCTGTGGAGGAGGAGGTGGGTTCTCACATGGCTCAGGAAGTGGCTGCAGCACCGTCATCCGGAGAACCACCACATCCAGTTCATGCACCAAGTCAGGCGGAAGATATTAGGCATCCCTCCCAGTCCCCCCAAAGGAAAGAAACATCTTTTAGCTGCTTGGGTCAACCCAACTCCTTCAGCCCCAGTCTGGCAATCCAGAAAAGAACAAACTGTCTTTTACAGCCCAAGATCCAGTCTATTTCCCTCCCAAAGGAAACCTGCAGCAAGTCCCCACTAAGGGGGGTCATCATCCTCCATCTCGCTTCTGTGGCTTTAGATGACCAGTCATGAAGTAGTAACCAAATTCCATGTTAGGATATCCAAGAGAGAAAAGCTTGAAAGAAGGGGGAGATGAATAAACTACGAATCTGGGCTCTGCTACTTTCAGTATGCTGTATATATTTGGCTTAGTTGGTGGCTGCCAAATTGTAATGTGCATGAAGGAGATCTTTCCTCGCCTGCCTGGAGTCTTCTTCCAACTGACAGTTCTCTTCAGTTTTGCTGTAGTTCCCTGCTTCATTGAAGAGATCATTTGTTTTCACTGTATACGTCTAGGTCGATGTTAGACACGTCAAACTTGTATGGCTAAATGAAATGTTAATTTTTATAATCATCCCTGTATTTTCACTCAACAGTTGGGTTTGCAGAAAGACAGGGTCCTGCAGAAGTCTGAGCAAGCAACAATTCATTATTAGGAAATCAGGAAAACAGGACTGTACTGTGAAAACATTCATTCTTGTGCCAGTTTTGTGGATTACACTGCACCTATTTTCATTTCTTAGGCTTTCTTTCCCATTTTCTTAGGAGCTGTTCAATTTCAATAAACTGCAGTCAAGTTAGATGTTGTCTTGATTTTTTAAAAAATTGTTGGGACGCTGCATGTCATTTTACTTCAGAAATGCTCATGGACCATCCCTGAAGTGGCTTGTACAAAACTCCATGTATGGTTATCTGGGAAATAACTCTTCATAAGATTGCAGTCTTTGTGTCTAATTCTATCTGGTTTATCTCAGAGTAAGTTTCATTGAATTAATTGGATTTCCTTTAGAGGAAACGTACATTAGGGATGTATGTTTCCTAAATTATGGAGACCCCATTCCTAAATATGGCCTCCATAAAGCAGCATATAGTAAGTCTGGGCAATGTAGAGTCAGAGAAAAAAGTTAATAATTAATTGGCCTATTCAGTGCTATTTACTAGGGCTATGGAGAGCTCTGGTTTCAAAGGGCATTCATGATTGGACAAAACATGGACATGTTATGTACCATCTGTCAGGAACACCTCAAACTACCTCAAAGCAGCTGCTCCTGGATCTGTGCATCTGCCCTCTAACAGTTGCTGTACAATCCTAGGAAAAGCTGTGATTGATTGATAGTATTCTTTCTTTCCCAATAGTTGGATTAAAGATTATATACAACAGATAAAACTAATATAAAAACCTAATACAAAATTACATTAAAATATATATAAAATATATCCAAAGAAAAGAAAAAGAACCTCCCCCAAAATAAAGAGACTTCCCCTTCATCCCCAGCAAGTATATGCAACATTAACAACTTATCACTGTCTCTTAAAATACTACAAAATACATCTTCATTCCATACTTCACCCCATTTTCTACAGACCCAACTCTAAATCCTCAGCTATCCTTATTAATCAACAAAAGATGTAAAGATTAACAGACATAACTAACAACAAAAGCATTTAGTCCCCCTTTCCATTTATACATAATCCCCCTAATAATCAAGATTTTATAATCAAAATCTAATCCCAATTAACAATTAAACATTACAACAAGGTAAAAAAAACCATTAACCATTAGCACTAGAGATACCAACCCATTATTATTCCCAACTAACAATTAAACTTGACAGAAAAATAAAAAACGTTAAACATTACCAGAAATAATAATTCCTTATTCATCTACCAAAAATAGTAACATAGATATTACAAACTATTCCATTGCACCCAATTAGACATTTCCAAAAAAAGAGTTATCCAGTCAAAATAACCATTAAACACCACCAAAAATAACGACCCATTACTTAACCATAATCAAATAAACCAGTTTTGTATTTTTTCTTCTTCTTCCTATCCATCCTTGAAACCCGAGGATAAAGTTCTAACATCTGCCTTCTTTTATGATTCTTGTCACTCCTCTCAAAATCCTTGTCATCTTTATCAAAGTCAATATGTAATTTGTGTGACCAGTTTTGTATTCAGAATTGTTAAACTAAAGCTGGCACGTAAATTTCAATTTCAGCTCGGATGCCGCACCCAGTGTTTTTGACTGTGCCATCCACAGAAACTCAGTATTAGCCCTCCTTTCCCAAAATGATTTTTATTAATCCGTTTTATCTCCTCCCTATTAGTTGCATCTATTCTAAGAATCATAGTAGGGTGGTATCCAGGAAGCTGTCTCATACCACACTGTGCAGTAGGCCTGATTACTCCTGGGGTAGGTCAAATAGTTGAGCCCCAGTGAATGATACCATGTGCGCATCAGAACACAGGAATACAACGTGGCCCTGCGTGAGGATGCTGCATCCTATCCAATCTCATGTCAGCTTGTTTTGAGAATTAAGTTGGTGTTTGGCTGGCTCTGCATTTGTTTACCTGAAACTGCACTGAAGCCAGTGGGGGCTGTTCTTCTCAACAGTGGAAACTCAGCATTCCTGTCTCCTGCCTCACCAACATCACAGATGTGCTCTGTTTACCAGTGGCCTCCTTCTGCTGCATCGTCTGCTCAGAGCTACACTGGGGTGGGGTGGGGTGGGGTGGATGGCTGCAGTGGGTCCATGACGGTTGCCCACACCATCCATCATCTTTTCTTTTCCAATAGTAGCTAGCCTCCTCCTTTCCCCAGCTACCTTTGCTCTGTCACTTCAGTCATTTCCCGAGAAGCACCTTCCCTTGTGGCATTTTCTAGAATCATCCAACCACTATTGTGCCAAAACAACAGGCTTCTGTGATAACTGGACGATGGTATGAAGAAGCTCAGCATCCCATCCTTGGCTGCTGCAGGTCTTGATTGGTGGAGTGCTGGATACTGTATATACAAACTTCCATATGTATATAAACAGAAATAAAAAATAAAAATAAAAATGCATACTGTACATCCCAGGAGGGAGACACCAAGTCTCTACAGAGGGAGTTGATAGTTGCAAATCTTCAGTCGTGATGTTCTTTTCCCCACTCTTTTTAAATAACTTTATTACATTCCACAAATGTTACAGCTGACATTTCTTAAAAGGGTTTACATAACAGTATATAATCTGTGGAAATTAATGTACATATACTTTAGAAAAAAAACCCTAGCCATTGTATTATAAATTCTTTGAATAAATAAGGAAAAAACTTGTATTAAACCACCTGAAACAAATAACAAAAATCATAGAAAACATAAAAAGAATAGATTTTAAAAATTCATAAGAAAAAAGTAACAGCTTAAACAATTCAACCAACCACACTAAAAAACTTCCATAAAGAAAAATAAAAAATAAAAATAAAAATGTCAGCCTATTTAAGTAATAAATTATCTTACATGTTTACTTTTAAATAGTAAATTCAATTAAACTTAGGCCATAAGGAATCATATTGTCTGGTCTGGTCTTTCCTTTAATACAAAACTAATTCAAAAGCTCACAGCTGACAAACCTCAGAAGGAGGTTCCAACCTTGAATTGGTATGCTAAAGGATGCCAATAGACAGATAGTAATTGATTCAAGGAGATCAAAGAAAGATGGAAAGAATATACTGTTCAGTAGAGATGTCAATATCCAAGATACCTTAGAAGATACTCCCTTCTTACAAGAACCTCTTAGAGGTACTAGAAGATGAAGCTAGATCAGCACTCTGGTCATTATCAAGTTGGAAAGCTACAGGAATTGATGAAATAGCTACAGAAATATGACAAGCAATGGAAGAACAATCAGTAAAGGTTCTAACCAAGTGATGTCAGCAAATCTGGAGAACGACACAGTGGCCAACCAATTGGAAGAGGTCAGTCTATATTCCAATTCTAAAAAAAGGAGATTTAACAGAGTGTGCAAACTATTGCACAATATCCTTAATTTCACATGCTAGCAAAATAATGCTTAGGGTTATTATTAGATTACAACCCTACATGGAAAAGGAGATGCCAGATGTTTAAGCTGGCTTTAGAGAAGACCAGGGAACATGAGACACTATCTCTAATGCACACTGGATAATTGAAAAAGCCAAAGAATACCAGAAAGAAGTCACTATGTCCTTCATTGATTATAGAAAGGCCTCTGATTATGTCAATCACATCAAACTGTGGAGTGTGCTTAGAAAAATGGGAAATCCAGAATATCTCATTGTCCTCATGAGAAACCTATATACAGTCTGGACAGAACATGGTTTCAGGTTGGCAAAGGAGTGAGACAAAGATATATACTCTTCCTTTATTTATTCAGCCTATATGTTGTATATATAAGGGAAGCTGGATTGGACAAAGATAAGCATGGTTTTAAACCTAGAGGAAGGAATATCAATAACGTGCTATGCTGATGACACTACTCTGATAGCCAAAACTGCATAGGATCTCCAAGCTCTAGTAATAAAAGTCAAGGAGTACAGTGAAAAAAGTGGGAATAAAATTGAATATAAAGAAGACCAAATTATTGACAATGGGTACGACAACCAACCTTAGAACTGATAATATACATTTCATGGTCAACCCATCCCCAACTGCTTTTCTTTCTTCTAATGTTGATCTTTACTACATTAGACAGAACCGGCCTTGGAGACCTGAAGGGTTTCAAGGACAACACTGGGAATTGCTTTGAAGTCCTGAACCTCACTGATAGAGAACTAGAGGAACTG